ATGGTGGTAACACCTCTGATTGAGGAACCTTCGTGAATGTTTCGCTGCCTCTTTCTGTCAGCTCTTTTTCCATGACTGCTGTCTCCTGTGCTTCAGGTCTCATTTCCAGTCTAACGCCAGCCTTGCCCTGCTTTGTGTCTGTCCCTGAGACTCTGAGGATTGTGTGTTTGTAGAGTTTTTGTTTGGTGATATTTTTACTTGGAACATTTCAGCAAATTCTTGTTATCTTTTGACTTTTTGTCTCCAAGTCTGAATTGTTGCATTGTGGGTCCTATTCACTACTTAAACATAACACTATAAGAGCCCTCCTCAAAGAGTATCAGAATTAAGGGTGGGTAGATCAATACCGAATGTATCTAACTCAAACTAATTAATGCAAATTAAATATTAGCATCACTTTTATTTAAGAGCACATTATGATTTGTTAAGGACTCAAAACTAAAAGTTTAAAACTTGGGACTTGTCAGACTTCCCTTAGGACTTGAGGGGAAAGACTTGAGACTTAATTGTAACTTGCAAAGCAATGACCTCTGCCCAAAGACCCTTTCATCTTAAAAGATGAACCCTGATACAGTAAAACTTCAATTAATAGCCCGGGCTATTATTTGTTTAAATCACTGATATCTATATTTGGGGCAGGCCTTCAGTTCCTTTCACACAAAACTCTACAAACACACAATCCTCAGAGTCAAGACTAGTTCACCGGTCCATCTTGTGGCAAGAATGTATACTGCGTTACAGAAGCTCTGTAAACATGTACTACAGCAGGGCTAATCAATTACAAATTTAACTGGGACAGATTTTTGAACCAGAAAATGTCAAAGCCAGAACCAAGCACAGAAGCAAACTCTCATTTAAAGACATACTGTACTAAGATATTTTATGAGTTATTTTTTTTAATTTTTAATTTTTTTTACATACAATATTCAGGGTAACAGTCAAACCTACTGTACATTGTGAAAGTCCCATGCATTGACCATCCACCACGTCTGCAGTTCTCCAGGGACTCCCCATTTTTTACCATGTCACCTGACTTTGGTCTAAATCTGTAATTTTTTGTCTTGTGAAATTAGAACTTGAGGTGTTTTCAACAACAATTATTTAGGTTTTCGACATATTGTATGATTTTTTTTAAAATTAGTTATACTTGGATGTACTTTGTTTCTTTTTTTAATGCTTTGTCTAAAGGAGCAAGAGAAAATCATCAAGGAGGCACAATAGTGTCTTTAGTTTGTTAGCTCAGGCAGATGGAGGACTGGTATGAAGGTCAGAGGATGTGGGTTCAGTTCTCAGGTGAACAGTCATATTATTTTTTCATGATTTTGGACGACATACTATCCTATGACTTTTTTTCACGATTTTGGACGACATACTATCCTATGACTTTTTTTCACGATTTTGGACGACATACTATCCTGTGACTTTTTTTCATGATTTTGGACGATATACTATACTATGACTTTTTTTCACGATTTTGGACGACATACTATCCTATGACTTTTTTTCACGATTTTGGATGACATACTATACTATGACTTTTTTTCATGGTTTTGGACGACATACTATACTATGATGTTTTTTTCATGATTTTGGACGATATACTATACTATGACTTTTTTTCACGATTTTGGACGACATACTATCCTATGACTTTTTTTCACGATTTTGGACGACATACTATACTATGACGTTTTTTCATGATTTTGGACCACATACTATACTATGATGTTTTTTTCATGGTTTTGGACGACATGCTATACTATGACTTTTTTTCATGGTTTTGGACGACATACTATACTATGAAGTTTTTTCATGATTTTGGACGACATACTATACTATGACTTTTTTTCATGATTTTGGGCAACATACCATACTAAGACTTTTTTTCATGATTTTGGGCGACATACTATACTATGATGTTTTTTCATGATTTTGGACGACATGCTATACTATGACTTTTTTTCATGATTTTGGACGACATGTTATACTATGACTTTTTTTCATGATTTTGGGCGACATACTATACTATGAAGTTTTTTCATGATTTTGGACGACATGCTATACTATGACTTTTTTCCATGATTTTGGACGACATGTTATACTATGACTTTTTTTTATGATTTTGGACGACATACTATACTATGACTTTTTTTCATGATTTTGGGCGACATACTATACTATGAAGTTTTTTCATGATTTTGGACGACATGCTATACTATGACTTTTTTTCATGATTTTGGACGACATGTTATACTATGACGTTTTTTATGACTTTGGACGATATACTATACTATGACTTTTTTTATAATTTTGGACGACATACTATACTGACTTTTTTTCACGATTTTGGACGACATGGTATGCTATGACTTTTTTTCATGATTTTGGATGACATACTATGCTATGATGTTTTTTTCATGATTTTGGACGACATGCTATACTATAATGTTTTTTCATGAGTATAGCACGTCACCTAAAATGATGAAAATACATCATAATAAAGTATGTCGTCCAAAGTTGTGAAAAATAATAAAGTATAGTATGTCGTGCAAAACCATGAAAAAAACTTTATAGTATAGCATGTTGTCCAAAATGATGAAAAAGCTCATAGGGTAGTTTGTCGTCCAAAATCATGAAAAAAGGTCATAGTATTTATATTTTAACCTCTGACCTCAGAATTCCCAAGCAGCTCTTTAACAGCATGAGCTATTCCACCTCATACTTCTGTGGTGTTTCATGGAGCCTTTCACTCTGTCCTCTGGACAGCGGCATTTAAAATTCACCTGCCCTGGACTAGGATTGAACATTCATCCTAAGGACTTCCAACCAGACCTCTAAGAGCCTGAGCTACCAGGCCAGAGCCACTTGGTCTGTGTTTCTTAGACATTTTAACTTTCTCCTTCAGACATCAGCTTGCAAAATAGACTAACTGCTCACCTGAGAATTGAACCCTGATCCTCTGATCATCCTCTGATCCTCAGTCTTCTATCCCATTGAACTAATGAACTGGAGACACATGAGCTTTCTTTGTTGAAGATTTTCAGTCTCTCTTTTGGACAAAGGCATTCAAAAGTCAACTGTTAAGGTGTCCTAGTAGAAGGAATTAATTGGCGACAGTTGTTCAGAAGGCTGGCTCTCTGCTTTCAGGACATAGGCTCAAACTCTATTAACCTATCAACATCACCATTATAAGGATGTTTTCAATCTTGACTTGTACTAGTATTACATTTCATGGCAGTCCACGCAGTGCATGGAAATATACAGAGAAAAATCACACACTTCATTTGGACAAAGGCATTCAAAATTCACTGAGCATCAACTAGCATTGAACCCACAACATCAGAATCTCTAATCAGTCCTCTAACACTGTGAGCTATTGAAGTAGACAGCCATTCTGTCTTTCCTCTGAGTGTTGTAGCTTAAACCACATTAGACTGTTAGGCTGAACACTCTACAAGGCAGTTTGTTATTTTCTTTCCAGCTACCTCTGGCCAAAAAACAAGTCCTTCAACAACTTTCTTACAAACAAGTACAAATGGAGTCTTTGTGAGTTCAGTGTTTGGACATGAATGTGCAACTTAAGGAATTACAAAGATCTGTTCATCACACTGAGCTACCTTTCTGCTACACATCCTGTGATCAATCTCATCCAGAAAAAAAATCACCTTCACCACTAATCTGGTTTGGACTACATTAATACGTAAACAATAAAAAGACACATAAAAAAAGATGCTTTATTGCCAAGTCAGGAGCTGATGGTTGACTTTGGGAAGAAGCAGGGATTTTAATGTCAACAGGTATCATGGTGTCCATGTCACTGGCGGCCTGACTTGGGTGTTGCATATTGTTCCACCTCAGACGCTTGAAGAAACTCCAGCGATATCCAGATATCCCCTCCAATACTGAGGAATTTCCAGTCTTACACTTCAACAGCATCCTGACGGGGATCCTCGGTATGGAAACAGGCCCCTTAATCACACACATATATTTATTATTGCACTCTTTTTTTATAATGCACAAACTAGAGGAACTGAATTAACTTTACATTTCACTGGCATTGTACCTTATATAATAACATGTGACAAATACATTGACAGTAGAGCACGGACAATTATTCCAATCCGTACTGTGAAGAATTTTGTTTGGAAATATTGTGACTTTGGCAGGAGGAGTCCCTCATTTAAAAATATTTATATGTTTTCAATATTCAACATGAAACACAGCAGCTGATGATAGAAGAGATCAGAGAAGATGCTTCTTTGGGTGGTCTTATGATGTTCCTCTTCTTTCCAGATGTCACCCATTGACACTGCATGTCTAAAAATGGCAAATACATGCACCTCCCTTAACGTGTAACACAACAAAAAGCAGAAGTAAAAACCACACAACAATAACCTTATAGCTGTGAGCAGTTTACTAAGCATTGTAGGGATAGACAGTACACTTGCTTAAACTACTAGAGGAACTGAGAAACATGTTTGTGGAAACAATGCTCTCTCTTATATATAAATATAGTACTCAGCACTCAACCACATCTGTTATCAACACTTACCACCCATACAGATACATTTACAGTACAACCCTTTTTCCACTGCAATCACACTAACTTATTTACAGAAATCATTGACTGTCCAACAGCACATTTTGAAATACAACTGACTGTATCAATTGGTAAACGTCCTTCTCTTTGGCTGTGCTACCTCCGAAGTCTGCTTTTATCCACTTTACAAATTAACCAGTTAAAGGTTTGCTCAAAGTGAGATAATTATGGTTTAATCATGGGACGGTGGTGGGGGGCGATCTTTGTGCTGTTATGTTAGATGATCTGCAGCAGAGGCGACGGAAAAGAGAATTACTGGAGAAAAATAAATAGACACACCACTATCTATTTACAGTAAACTCAATGAAGTCCCCCATGGAGGGAGGCCCTGGTCTTTACTGCGAGAGAGATAGAGAGATAAGAAAAAAAGGAAACGGAGAGCAAGAGAGAGACTCATGAGCAAGTGAGAGTGACACACTGACGTGCTGCTGGTTTTCAGTAAGGAAATTGAAGACGTCTTGCATCTGGAGTACTTTTGAGGACACAAGCTGGGGGGCAAGTTTCAAGGTATTTATCATTTATTCATTAAAAGTAAAATTTAGAATTAAAAAGAGTGAACTTAATAAACTTTTGTCATGTTTTAGATGAAAAAAGATTGAAATAAGTCATACTGGTGTGCCGTAAAGTCGCACAGTTAGTTGGAACTGTAACAGTGGAACATTTACAGCAACCATTAGGAGACAAAAATCTCACAAATGGTTACAAGAAATATCTTGACATTATACATGAAAATAAAATTAGACTAAGCAAAACACAATCCCTAGTGTGTGTGCGGTGTGTGGTGAGTTAAAAGCGCGCTTAAATTTTTCATGAGGTAAAGAAAGGATGCAAAGGTCAGTGATAATAAAGGTAATTCTTCTTAAAATTATATCATGAAAACATGTATGGGATGTATTCTTAAAAAAAAGCTGCCCTTCGATATAAATAAAGGCTAAAAAAAGTTGTGACTTCTACTTGTAATATAATGGTCACAGTTTTATTCACACGTCACTGTATATTTGTTGGGTGATAAAATCTCGAAGATTGTCACCATGACAGTTGGTTTTCTGAGAGCAAGTTTTGCACGTAATTTTATGGCATAGTTAAAATTTTATTTATTCATTTATTGTTTTGTTTTTTAATAATATTCCTGTTACAGTTGCAACACAAAGAAGGTGACAGCTAAAGCCATTTAATAACCAGCAGTGTGTGAAGTCCAAGCGTCCTGCTCTCTGAAGGTTTAGTTGCATACTGTCTATGGGACATCGTAATAAGACAAGTGCTGCCATTTTGACATTTGCATGTACGACCATGAAGTTAAACATCCGTGATAAACATTGAGGTTATTGAGCTGTAAGTAATGGTGCTTAAATTGGCTCTTATAACTATTGTTATGACTCTTTTTTGGACTTCTTTTTTAATATTCATCATCTGTTTAAATGTTTCTATGTGAGAATCTTATTTAAAAAAATAGATTCAGAAACAGCAGTAACAAGTGCACCATGCGTAAAAAGCATGTTGCTTTACATTGACATAAGAGTTCCCTGTAATCTTCTGCTTCTCGTTCTCAATTGTTATTTTTAGCACTTCATTTTTTCTCTATTTTTAACTGACAGGACAACATGACTGTGTCATAAACTGTAAATGCAAATGCTACCAAATAAAAATGAAAACATGTTTTCCACTTCCTCTTCTGAGAAGCATTTGGCTTTAAGCACACTTGTTATCAAGACATTAAACTAAAAAGGGACTCCACCGATGATTTAGCGAATTTTGAGTGATTTTAAATTATTATTTTTTTCAGCCCTGGGCATGAACTCACAGACTGGGCCCTGCAGTGGGAGGAGTGGAGACTGAAAACAGCTTCTGTAAAGCTCATCTGCTTTTTCAGGTAAGAGCACAGAAATGAATATACTGTGACTATCTGAGGCTCTTAGCAGGAACTGGTTGAATTTGATAGCGTGGAACGAACTGCACGACATCATGCAGTGCTGTGTTGTACTGTTACATTGAGTAAACCCTGTTAGTATAACTGAGGAGGATTGCCATTATACATGCAGGATGGGCTGCGCTTGCAGTGGCCAGAAACAAGTAAAAGATGACAAATTCTACAAAGGAAAATACAACTCTCGGGTTTCCAACTCGTCAAATCACATAGTAAGTACACCACTTGGGTATTGTACTTTACTGTGATGTGAAATGAACGTGGTTTAATCACTTTAAATTGTGTTTTTCTTTGGTGTATTTGAAATATGGAATATTTAAGAACGTATTTTTTTCCTCTTTAGGCACGAGGTGGAAACACATATGTGGATAATGGTAATCACTGAACACAACACACATAACAAACTTTCCACTGAACATTAACTGTGTCTAAAGCAGTCGGCTGTCGCTGTGCAGAGAGACATTAGTGGCAGTGAGAAGAGGCTATGTTTAGCGATCAAAATCTTGGTTGTGTTTCCTCTGTTTTCTTCTGGGGAAAAGATGAGATCGTTAACAAAAGACAGTCGTTTTCATGTCACTGACACAGAAAGTGTAAAAACTATGCTTGTGCTGTATGTTCTTTTACTATTTGAAGGGTGAGTTCAGTCATTTTCAACCTGGACTCCAACTTCTCGTGTCTTTGTCTCTAAGTGACTGATGGAAACATTCATTTTTGAAATTGGTCCAATATTGCGTGAGAGCAAGAGGTGAAACAGGCTGCAATGTAACATTTAGGGCATGTTTGCGCTGTCACTTTATAGTTACGTCCATCATAAGTGTTTGTTTTTGTCTCTGACAGGCTCAGATTATTATTCCACGTGTCTGACAACATTATGGAAAGGATCCCTACAGAGATAGACCTTTTTGTTAAAGAGTAAGATCCTTTTTGTTGAACCAGAAACCAGAAACAATAATCACTGTTCGGCCCCGATCACACGGAAAGTGGGACCACCCCATGACCTGCTTACATTAACCTTCCTGTGTTATCAGTCTTATTTCATGGTAATCAGTATCTAATTCCTAAAATGTTGAGGCAGAGGGTACTTGCTGTAGCTCTGGTTGAGGGTGAGAGGCTGTCAGCAAATAGTTTGTTGGGCACAGGGAAACAGAGATCTGTATGGGTACATGAGACCCTAAGAAGAGGGTGGATCACAGGGAGTACCAGTGAGTTGGTCCAGGAGCTTTGCCTATATTTTAGGATGACTCAGGGGGAGTTTGACAACCTGCTGTCTATTGTTGGGCCTTATAGCTCTATAGCTAGCCACCACCAGTTTTTCCTCCATTGTTTACCAACTGTAAACTTGTTGTCATGACCACCACAGAAGAATTTGCCTCTCAAATGATCCAAATAGACAATGCGAAAAAAGATGATGAAAAAAGAGATGCTAAAATGCTTTCTGTGTGACCAGAGCCTTAGTGGGCACAATCTGATGGTATGAACATGCCTCAAGTGGTTACACTGGAGCCCATTTCACCGTTTTTGGCTGCAGCCTTGTGACCACTTTCAAAAACTGTTGTTCCTTTTAGTCACTAAGACGCAAAAACATGACGAAATAGGGTTCAGGTTTAAAAATATACAACGTGCCCTTTAACTTTTACGTCCAGCATAGCAGCCAAACAAAACAAAAAAGAAGTCAACATTCACAATCAATAATTGAAATTACTGTTGTTTTTGGAAGATCGTTTTGGTTGAATCAACAGTTTGCTCTGCTTCTCTTTAGAAGACATCGTGTTTGTGGCTCAACATGACTTCAAAGCGACCAACGAGAACGATCTACCTTTCAGAAAGGGAGACAAACTTAAGGTTTTACAAGAGTAAGTCGCCTCGTCCTTTCGTCACTATAGTACGTTCTCAGCAACAGAAGTACTTTTGATCTGACAAAATGTAAACGATCTGCTGTGTTTGTAGAAATGGAGATTGGTGGGTTGCTAGATCGTTGGTGACAGGACAGGAGGGCCTCATACCATGCAATTATGTAGCCAGAGCAGATACGCTGGAGGTGGAAAAGTAAGAAATAACGCCATGAATGTTAAGAAAATCTAAATTTTATGGACTGTTAAATATAAATGTATGTGCTTTAACTGGTTACATAAAGTGTATTTTGTGGTTCTGTCTCCTGCAGATGGTTTTTCAAGGACATGAGTAGGAGAGAGACTGAACGACTACTTTTAGCTCCCGGAAATAAACCGGGCGCCTTTCTAGTGCGAGAGAGCGAGACCTGTAAAGGTGATTGCCATCAGTTTCTTTGTGTGATCACGCCACAAACCATACTTTACAATAACAGTTACAATTTCAAGACAAGTATTAATGTCGACATGTAACTAAGATCTATATGTTTCCCTCTTAGGGTCTTTCTCGCTGTCAGTCAGAGATCACACATCGGAGCAAGGAGATGTGGTAAAACACTACAAGATCCGCTGTATGGACAAAGGTGGCTACTACATCTCACCCTCCACCACATTCCCATCGCTACAGGAGCTGGTTAAATACTACACCCGTAAGTAATAAACACATTTTATTAATCCACAAAACTTTTCTTTTAGAACTTAACTATTTAAAAGTAAGTATCCCTACATACAGGTTTCTAAATGTTTCCAAATCAGTAATCCAAAAACTAACACCATCTGTTGATTTGAATTCAGTTTTGGTTCACTGCTGTGAATTCTAAGACTTCTGCATTGACTTTGAATCGATGGGGGAAGTTAGACCCTTGTGATGCGTTGTGCATTTCCTGTGTGAGAGGAGTGATAGTCTTTCCACTCCTGTGCGACTAAACCACAAGATAAGAAGGCCAAATCTCTAGAATGGCTGCCAATGCACAGCAGCTCATGAGAGACAAGTGCACGCAAACAAGCTTTTAAGATTATTTGAGGAAACAAAAGCTCATCAGACTTCTTCAGACACTAAATTTAGCACAAAGGCAAGGATTGTTTATTACAGCTATGTGTCTCACGTTTGGATGCAGGTACCGCAGATGGTTTGTGTCAACGGCTGTATGCCCCTTGTAAGGCGAAACCACCCGAGCAGCCGTGGGCTCAGGACGAGTGGGAGATTCCCAGAGAGACGCTGAAAATGGTGAAGAAACTGGGGGCCGGGCAGTTTGGAGAAGTGTGGATGGGTGAGAGAAAGTTCACAATTCATCCTCTCATCAGCAACATTTTATAAGCCTAGACAGACAAGAACAGTGAGTTAAACACCCAGTGTTAATTCTAACTGCAGGTTACTATAAGAACACCCAGAAGGTCGCTATCAAGACCTTAAAGGAGGGAACAATGGAGCCTGAGGCGTTCCTGCAGGAGGCCAACCTGATGAAGCAGCTGCAGCATGAACGACTGGTGCGCCTCCATGCTGTGGTCACTAAGGAACCCATTCTTATTGTCACCGAGTTCATGGTCAATGGTAAGACAAAAAGTAAAGGGGAGGCGGGGAGATTTTTGGAATGATTACAGGGATAGGTCGGATTTTTTGCAGTGGGACTGTATAATACGCATCCATACCCACTGGCACCACTGCAGCACAACGCATCAAGTGCCACCCCTAGCACTCACTGGACGCATCATGCTGCAAGTCATTAACAGACGACCGCACAAAGTTATCACTGCTTTTACGAAGAGATCTGTACTTCCTCCACCTTAACATTAGCTTTAAATCATATGTACAGAGCCCCTAATTAAACATTTCTCCCCTGAAGAGCCAATCTCCAGAGCTATGACTTGCCAGGAAGTATCTTTTTGGCTATTGTCTTTTTTATTGTGGGTTGTTTAGCTCGGGATATTTCTCGACCTCAACAGTGAGTCTCTCCTCATCCAGTCTTGGTCACACATGAGACACAGCAACAGCTACAGAGTTCTTGTTATACATAAGTGGTGAGGAGAGGAGTCGAGCTGCCATAGGAGCAGAGAAAAAGAGCTGCTATGGGAGCTGGTATGTACAAGAAGAGAGAGAGTGGGGATCAGTATCAGTTTAAGTGTATGCTACATACAGGATATTTTCACTGATCTACCTTGCCGTCGCAATTTCTGATGGGGAGCAAAAGCTGTTATATCTCTCTCTTCAAAGCCAAACTCCACTGAGATAAACAGTAATTTAACATCACTGAACACAGGAGCAAGTGGTCTAAAAACTCATTTTATGACAGTCAGAGACTTAATTCAATTTGGTCATTTTATTATGATGTTGTGCACTAAGTTGGGGTGAGGGCAAACTACCTGAAACACCATAAACTCAGAGATTACTGAGATTACTACTTTACAAGTAAATATAGCATTTACAGGGTTGTACTGAATCGAAGTGTTTGCATTATCGGAGCCTTAAAGGGACAGACAATCAAAAAATATACATTCTTCCTCTTAGCTGTAGTGCTGTGTATCAATCTAGACTGTTTTGGTGTGAGTTGCAGAGTGTTGGAGATATCGGCTGTAGCAATGTCTGCCCTCTCTCCAATATAGAGGAACTAGATTGCACTCTGTTCATGGTGCTATAAAGAGATACTCGATGATATGGTTGGCTGACACCCACCAGCTGTATCACTTGCAGAAGGAAGTGTGCATCGATTACTAGCTCACCTAGCCCCACTGAGCTGGCTTATGTTACAGCTCAGCCGAGGAGGATCCCATTTAGGTGTATATCTCACACCGTCACAAGCCTTTCGTCCATGAGTAGATGCACTCTTCCCTCTGTGTGGTGATACGGTTGCCAGGTGTTGTTCAGTAAAAAAAACAACAATAGTTCCGACATGAAACTGCTCACAACAAGGTCTGTGGATTATCTCGAGTAACCGAGTCATGATTTCTGGAAAGAGACATTACTGTTGAGTTTTTCAAATATATTTTTTGGCGCTTTGAGCACCACAAGCTGAGTGTCATCTAGTTCCATTATACTGGAGAGAAGGCAGACATCTCTATGGCTGATATCTCTGACACTCTGCAACTCACACCAAAACAATCTAGACTGACAAATAGCACTACAGGTAAGAGGAAAAATATGTGATTCTGTGTAATCTGTTTAAAACTGTAAGACGTTTCTGTGAAACAACATTTCTGTGAAAAGACATCATGTGTCATTTATGAGTTGTGCTTCTTCTTTTCTCATTTGCAGGATGTCTCCTGGACTTTCTGAAATCAGATGACGGAAAAAAGATAAAGCTGAACAAGCTGATAGACATGTCAGCGCAGGTGGGAAACTTTTTTTACTGTAACTGCACCATTTCAACAACATGATCTCCATGAATGTGCAGGATCGTATCTTGTACGTGACCATTTCATCACACTGTTAACTCATCTAACTCACTCCTCTCCATGATATAATGCAAGCTTTTTCTCAGAAAATTAGACAAACACAGGAACTTTCTTTAACATTGCCTGTGAGTGTGTCAGTTTTTTTTTGTAGACATTTATCTCACTGCTGCTGCTGTTGTTTACCACAGCGTGACATTTAACTTAATTCACTGATTTTTACATTCTCTGACAAAAACACTAGCCTTCTCACTGACCTCAAACTCTATTTATACCCACACAAGCTGCTGTGTACCCTGGCTGTTAGAGAGTGTGCTTTGACACCAGCTATGATGTGAATACACGTGGAAACTGTCAGCAGTAGCTGTGTGGTTTCTGTGGTGGGGCTTTTGCTCGTCTGGCTTGAAAGCCTCGCCCTACGTCAATTATTAACATCCGGACAGGAAATCATGCTGTTTTTTTCCATTTACAGTGAGCTCCCTCAGAACTCTTTTGCCCCTCCAAAAAAAAGCCATTTGACTTCCTGATAGTTGGCACATCCTGTAAAACCCACTTTGCTGCCATTATCACACACAAGTGCTCACACACGCTGTAGCTACTCAACTGTGCTGTGGACACTGACCAAAAGAAAACAGACACATGCAGTATGTGCACAAGACCACCATCTAGTCCATGGATTCAGTATGCCGTAATTCCCTTCTCATACTCTTGTTCTCCTCTCCATATGACAGATAGCTGAAGGCATGGCGTACATCGAGAGGAAGAACTACATCCACCGAGACGTGCGTGCAGCCAACATTCTGGTCAGCGAAACCCTGCACTGCAAGATAGCAGACTTTGGTCTGGCCAGGATCATCGAGTCCGAGTACACAGCTCAAGAAGGTGCAGTATGTGCAGTGTCTCCCCACAGTGGATGATATATGCATCCAGGGCAGTAGCCCAAGGTTTCAGGAGCTCAAGTCCCCCAATACAACACCCCATCCCCACTAAAATTAACCAAAAAGGCATTCTAAAACACGTTTTTTTTGTATTTGTCAGTTAAATTGTATTTTTCTGTAAAGTTTGCCTGATCCAGGAAGCAAATTTGCATGTCCTAGGATAACGAAGGCATGATCGACCCTATTCTCTCTCTGATTCGCGCATACTTGTTGCCTTGTTGGTTGGATTTGTTAGGTTTAGGCATGAGGAGTGAGACTGGTTAGGGTTAGGGTAAGAATTTCAGGATAAGCCGATCAGAGGCAAAGTAAGGCAGAGAAGGTCATGTCATGCCTCCGTTATTTGAGTAAATGCAAATTTGCATCAGGAGCATGACGGTCTAAATTACATCACACTCATTTGGCAGATGTTTTTGTCCAAGTGGAGCTTATAATAAACTCAAAGGAACAAGAGATGTGTGTTAGAGGGATAACTCTTACCAATAAACGGCAAAATTTAAATATAGTTTTTGCCTGTTTTTTTGAAACAGGCAAGATGGAAGAACTACCCATGTTAGGTTTCCTTGACAACAGTTAAACCAACAGGCCTGTTTGAGACTCCAACTCTAAAGGTCACTTGCACAAGCAGTTTTTTGTGGGCTGATTTGATTTTGGATTATTGCAGAAAATAATCTCAATCTAATACTTGCAGGGTTTTTTTTATTCAGCAAGATACTCTTCACAAATTAACTCTACTTTTATGAAGTTTGAAGCGTAAATGCAGAAGTTAAAAGCTAACACTAGGCTATAAACAAACTACACCACAGTCACAAGACATAACGTTGCCACCTCAATGAGGCTGTAAGGCCGTGTTGGGCACGGTGATTTTCTTTAACCTCAGTTTCTGTTTGCAAATGTCTTTTTCAGACAGATAAAAGCTTCGAAATTGACAAGTGGGGTATTTCCTGTTGTATTTTATGTCGTACACCAAGGACCTGGGTTACTTCTGGGTGATTTCCAGGTTTTAGGACTCAATCCCACACCTTCTATAATGACAGGAGCAAAAGGGGAAAACAGGTGACGTAGTGAAGGCGGTATGGTTGCACTGGAGCCCGTGGAATGGGGGTGGGGGCCCTTGCCAATGATTCAGATCGCCACATCGAGCTACACCTGTGTTCATGAACATGAAGTACTTTGTTTTCTGCCTGATGTCTAAAAATACTGCACTCAGCACCATTTCATTTTAACTGGAATATATCAACTCTCCCCACTTCAACAGATCTTCAATAAATCTTTAAAGTAGATGCACACTTTCTCAACTATTATTGCAACAACATGCTGTGGTTTTCATGCAACATCCGTCCTATACTGTCATGTGGAGGCACAGAGGTGGGCGATGTGGGTAAAATCTACTACCATAGTGCAGGTTATTTTGTATTGTGATGACAGTCTATATTGTTATATAGTCAATTATTGAGAAATTCAACTGAGAAATCATTTCACATATAATGATGATAGGAATGTCTGTCTTGGGTTTATTCAAGTGAAGTAAAAACCTGACAAATTTATCACACAGAAAAATATTCAAACAGAATATTTTTCCATCATTGCCAAAAAAGGACAAATACATTCAGAGATATTAAAGAGATTGCCACCTCGGTATAAATGGCACAGTAATCTCTCTACCCATAATCAAATCTCTGTCACCTCCAGGTACATGTCGTCATATCGCCCCACATTAAAAGGAACAAAGGCACATTCACACACACATACACACTCCTACATATTCTCTACTGTCATAACGCACTAACACAATTTCCTCTGCTTTGTTTCCACTCTCTGACAACTAGGCGCTAAATTTCCCATCAAATGGACGGCTCCGGAGGCCATTAATTTCGGCACGTTCAGCATCAAATCGGATGTGTGGTCCTTTGGGATCCTCCTCACAGAGATAGTCACCTATGGAAGAATACCCTACCCAGGTACAATAAATAAGAAGCAAATAAAGTATGAGAGAAATGTACTTAAGCACAAATCATGTTTTAAAGGAATACTTGATCCACAAAACAATTATTTGTATATCAATGACTCGCTGATGTTATGTTGAATGCTTAAAGATAGAATTTGTCTTGCATGCCTCTGGCAAATGAAGAATCCAAAAATTGGAATAAATACTGGATCAGTTTAAGTCAGAGGGGCAAAACTACATCAAATCTGTTTACAAACTCTCACACAACTTGTGTAGTGTAATCCAAGTCTCATTTAACCAGTTGTATGCTCAATACTTCCCAAACAAACAGCCATTTCCAACATGGAACTGAACGAAGAGTCACACTTTTCGAAGCCAGACCACATTGACAAAACCAGTAATTTTAGCTCTCTGAACATGGGAGCTGCTGGTCTACTGCTGCCTTGATCTGTAGTTTGTTTGTGCTTTTGTGCGAATGTGGTGAATCCAAACTAACCCTTTAAAACACTAAAGTCACACAATACCAAAAAACAAACTACCAATCAAGGCAGTGGTAGACCAGCAGCTCCTGTGTTTAGCAAGGTAAAATTACTGTTTTTGTCAATGCAGTCTGGTTTTGAAGAGAACACAGATAAGTTTCACTTTCAGTTCAGCTCCCTGTCAGAAAGAGCTGTCTGTTCGGGAAGAAATGAGCATACGACTGGATAAATGAGACTTGGATTATACTGCATGAGTTGTGAGAGAGTTTGTAAATGGATGTTTTCATATATTTTCCCTGTTGTCAAATGTGGACCCCTATGCCTTCAATTCATCAAGGTTTGTTTATAAATGTTTTGATTCTTCATTCATCAGAGGCATGCGAGAAAAGTGTTTTCTTCATTAATTTAATGTAACACAGGGTAAGTAATTGATATACCAATGGCTATCTGGGGGTGAAGTATTCCTTTAATACATTGTTTAGAAACCAAAGACTTAGTAAATTACACTATATGATAACTAAAAATACATCAAAATCTAACACTAGCTGCATTTTCTTTTTCTGAATCAGGGATGACCAACCCAGAGGTGATCAGGAGCCTGGACAAGTCGTACAGGATGCCTCGTCCGGACGGCTGCCCCGAGGAACTCTATGACATTATGAAAATGTGCTGGCGGCAGAAGCCTGAGGACCGGCCGACTTTTGAATTTCTGCAGAACACTCTCAACGACTTCTTTATCGCCACGGAGGGACAATATGAGATGCAGCCGTGATTAAACAAAAGGTTTCCTGCTGATAACCTGAAGACAGCAAAACGTGCTAAAGAGAAATATGAGACTTGAAAGGACAGAGGATGAGGACCAACGGACACAATTTATTTTTTTTAAGAATTTCAAATTGACTCTTTTTTAAGTCTGCTTTCTAAGTGAATGTGAAAGCTATTCACGGCTTCCTGTCTCTAGCAACTACATGTTCATAAATGAAACATTCACACCTTCAGTGCAAAGTTTTCTTACACTGACTGTCCTGCTATTGATGGCTCTCATTCTTGATAACAGCCAAGAACCAGGAGACATGATTAGGACTGATATACGACGGTTAAAAGAAGGAGTATGGAAATACAAATACAGTACATGCACAGTGTTGAGAGGCCTTTTGACCTGAGAAAGTAAGTTGGCACAGGTGAAGTTACAGATGAAACCTTTGCATGGTACCAAAACAAGCAGCCTGAGATTACATGCACGATACTTTGCACTTTTTAAAAATTCCTTCAGTCATTCAGCGATACGTAATTAAAAAAGGGGGCTTTTTAGAGAGAATTTATACTTTCATACATGTTTTTGTAAATAAAAATATTTACATTATTTAAAACTTTGGTTTGTTCTTGTATTTCAATCCAGTTGGTTTAGTTACAGCGTCATTAAAACGTCCTTTACATGCAAACCCAGGCTGAGGGAGCTCTTCTGTGTGGAGTTTGCATGTTCTCTGGGTACTCCAGCTTCCTCCCACAGTCCAAAGACATGCAGGTTAATCAGTGACTCTAAATTGTCCGTAGGTGTGAATGTGAGTGTGAATGGTTGTCTGTCTCTATGTGTCAGCCCTGTGATAGTCTGGTGACCTGTCCAGGGTGTACTCTGCCTCTCGCCCAGTGTCAGCTGGGATAGGCTCCAGCACCCCCTGCAACCCTCAACAGGATAAGCGGTTATGGAAATTGGATGAACTTTTGCAGACCGAATGAAAGTATAGGATTTTAATTTTAGTTTGAATCACATTAAAACACTGACAACAACCTACTAACTTCATGACCTAAATGTTTACCTCATCATTAAGTGTAAGAGACAGGAATCGCCAACAGGAAGCCTCTAAAAGCAACGGACTCTCCTAAATTACAGTGGTTTTGATCCTAAACCATCCCCTGGGGGCCCAGACAGTATCTTGGAGATAAGAGGGTGGAATGGCCGCGGCAGCCAGGGGTTAAACCCTGCCACTTCCTGAATGGACGGGAAACAGGAAGTGTGAGTCAGCATTCCGCAAATGCCACACAGCTAGAACACTCTCACATGCCAAATAGGTTGAGGTCTTCACATTTTTGTTATGCTTGGTATTTGGTGGTTAAAAGAGACCTTCTGTGAGGAGGAGAGACTTTATTTTTTACTATATCTAATATACTATCTGCTGTAAGTAAGATGAGAAAAAGGCATTTCAAATATTTACTGACTCTCATTAATCACCAGTAAACACAAATGCTGATGCACCATCATCACAGTAAGTGTTATCCGTCATAGGTCTAAGGATATTATTACTCATTCTGATTATTGTAACTGAGTGACTTCATATATTTACACCACTGGCCGGTTTTCCTGTCATATCATCAAAACACCCTGCGATTGAAAAAGGTTTTTATCTGAATGAGCTCAGGGCTTTTTTAACAAATAAACTTTGGAGAGTTTCCAGCTGACAACAATGGGAGAGCACCGTATCGACAGCATCTTGCATTAATTCCATTAAATGCATGCCAGCATCAGATCGCTGCAACACTGGCAGTCTGTGTGATATAAATCTTTGTTATGAATGCAAGCTGAGACAGTTTGATGGCAGTTTGGACTCTGTAACATCAGTGGTGTCTTGGAGGTCAACTTTCATCAACTTTGGGAATGAACAATTCCCTACAGTTACGTGCTTACATTTTCTGATGATGGAAATCAAACATATAAATGCACACGTGGGTAAAGCAAAGTCTGATGTCTTAATGCAGAAAGTTACAACTGTTATACTCCTGTCATCCTGCAGAGGTCAGTGTCACACAGTTTCACATGATGTACTCTGCTGTAAACTGCAAAGAAAATGTTGTAACACCAATGATTTATGAGGACAGAAGAATACTATATTATATTTCCTTCATTCAAACAATCTGTAAAATTATAATTCATGTTATATATTGGCATAATGCCAACGTTGGGGCTTGTGCAGCAACATTTTTTTTTTTAAATTTCTCTTATAAAAAAAGTACAAGAAAAAAAAAATCTGAAGTAAACTCCAGGTGGACCAAATGTTCTTAACCATCCAAATCTGCTTTGCTCACTGATGAATCCTACTAGATCAGGGGTGTCAAACATACGGCCCGTGGGCCAGAAGTGGCCCGTTAAAGGGTCCAATCCGGCCCACTGGATGACTAGACGAAGGCTTTTCCACCCTGACCAGGATACAGTTCTCTGATATAATAATGAATACTTCCCATGACCATGTTTAAAGATACTGAACATTGTGCCAAATATTGTCAACCAGCAGCTTCAGTTCAAAAGAATCAGTATCAGGAAATGTCTGGATAAATGCACATGTAATGACAGTGAGAAGTAGACTGACTGAATGTGGAAAAACTGAGACATACAGTATTGGTGAAATTGCACTTATTTTTCTTGAGACATCTCAGTCTGTTTATCTGTTTTGTAAAAGGATGAACGTCTACAGAATGTACTTGTAATTCTTTACACATAAAAGGGGGAAATATTGGAGCTGATGGTGCTTATAGGTTATTGTGTGATGGTTTTATTGGTCCGGCCTATCTGAGATCAAATTGGGCTGTACAGTATGTGGTCCACGAACTAAAACGAGTTTGACACCCCTGCTCTAGATCATAGGTAACGCCCCCAAACACTATATAAGGGCAGGCAAAAAAATACTTTGGAGAGAGTTGGAGAGTTTCCTTGTGTTGGGATGTTCTTATCTTACCTTGGTAATAGTGCTCTTGACAACTTGTAAAATGTCCTCTTACCTAAGAGAAGAGCAAAAGAGAGAAAATGTATTCAGTTATCACTTCCTGCACGAGGCCCATTGTGTCTTTTTAAAATCACGTTTTGGGTGTTTTGGACATTCACAGGAAATGAGGGGACAGAGAGAATAACATGCAACCAACCTTCCCAGCCAGATGCAAACCATTTAAGTCTCCCTTAAATGAACAGATTGTTTCACTGACCACTGAGCCGGAGTGCAACATTAACCTTGACAGCAGGGAAATGCATCCTCAGAACGTACTGCATAGCCTCCAACTGGCATTATGAACATATTTCTTGGACACTAAATTCCTCATACATCATATTTTGGTCTATCTGCTGTGTACTAGAGTGTCCAACTGTGCACAGCCTCACATTTCCTGTCCTGCATGGTGGTCTGAGTCATCACAGCTGTGGTCTGTAACCACTGGGCCACTCTGCCACGCACTGATCCTATCTGTGTTCATTTGGTCTTTATCAGTCTGATTGTCTGGCTTTCTTTGCGTCTAAAGCACAAGTGTTTTTTGGGTCTGGAAGACTTTTAAGACAAGCATAATTTTAATTTAATATTCAGTTAACCTGGAGGGTTTTAAGGGAAGGATTATTATAAAGTTGTCTTTCTCACTGTAGAAAACTGCTTTGCTTTGTCATGCCTTTATTAATCTATGCTTTATAATTTGCTCTGCTGTTTACCTAGGGCAGCAGAGCAAAGAAAACAGTTGGGGGTTCTTTATCAAATACAGAAGAATCCATCTGTTGAGCATAAGCTGAAATATTTTCATTCAGTACAAGATACTGCAGATGTTATAGGACCCAGCTACTATTTGTTCACTGTTACCAAAAGCTACCCCACAGGCGCAGCTCATAATAACACCAGTCTGTCTGCTGATGAACTGAGGGAACCACCATTAATCACGTCTCACGCTGTGCACCATGATTGATAAGCAGCCTCACCTTGAAATGAGCCATGATGTTAACACAAGATGACAAGACATGTGGGGTAAAGGTTGGGAGGCCTAATCACCCTCTCGCCTCCTTCTGTTCATCGCTGCCGCCTTAGAGGAATAATGACGGGAAACGGTGGCTCACACGCAGATTGATGAGTGATCCCTGCAGAAGGCAACACATCATTAGCATCTTCTGACAGTAACCCTGCGCCGTCCTCTGGGGTGAAGACGGGCACGTCGACGACGGATGAAAAGAGATGTGCTTTCATCTTGCAATAATGTTGCTGATTTCAATGGTGTTCAATTGGGATTATGCTCCTCATAAACATGTTTTCTCTCCCAGGCTTTGATGTCATTAAATTAATGGAGTCCATCAATCAAGAGTGTTTGGTCCGATAGATGTGAGGGCTCTTGAAACGATGACAGAAGATGTCTAAAAAACATTTTGCAAAATGAACATAATACAAAGAGATGGATGATGATGGATGTTTTTGAGAGGAAACTAGGTCTTGTAAATTGGACAAAAATGACTAGTTTGACATAATTCACAGATCTCATTAAATTCTTATGTATACACAATTAATTAATCCGTTCTCTGACTTAGACTTTTAATTACCTCACTAATCTGATGCCACATGATCTCATTTAATAGGCTCTTTTGGTCTTAATATAAAGGTTTAACTTTACAATTAATAACAATTTTTGTACACCTCAATCTGTTTCCGAGTTTCAGACGAGTTTCAAACATGAAAATAGCAATCTTCTGAGATTATTAAATATAATGAGCTATTCAAAATCCAACAGAAGCGAGGATTTGTCTCTATCATTAGATGCATATCAAGCATTTTATTCAGTATCCTGGCAGTACTTAATTCAAACCCCTTAATTCTGTTTTAATTTCCCAAAATAGTTCAGACTGCTCTCATGCAAAGTTCAAATGTATACCAATGAAAAGTAATGCACCAGAGCTTGTATAAAACACAGGTAATCATGAGCCAGTAATTTATATACCCATGTAATAGGGGCTGTGATTACGCGACCAATGGGCTGATTGGAGTAAAAAAGGAAGTACTATAAAGACCAAATGTTTGCATAAGGAGGCAGGTTGGGGTGGTAGGTGGGTCAAACAACACAGGACTTCCCCCAGGAGACCGGTGTTCGGAAATGTGTGAAACCAAGTGAACTTTTAGATATTTTAAAGTACGCTATCACTGTGTTTCTCTTCTTAAACCTAACCTATGAAACTTTATGTTAAGTGTGTAATTTTATAAGTAGGTAACATCATTTAGAAGGCGCTAATTTGTAAGATATCATGCAAACTATTGTAAGTTAATTTTTGTAAGATAACATGCAAACTGCTGTGTGAGGATAAGTTGAAAAGCTACAAATAATTCAAATTCATTGGCTTCGGTCAAAGTTAATGGTTATTGATCGGATACTTCTGCATTGGAGCTGGACTGTAGACAGGGAGATGACAATATTATTTAGGTCCTGACACACCATGCGAACGGTCAGCCACTGGTCAATGTTGGTATGCATCTGTTGCGCTAGTCTTTGCATTGTGTCCCGCACCACTGGCACTAGTCAGCCTTTGTTTACATTTTTATTCTTTTGCTGATTCAGCAAAGATGGTGGAACGCGTCGATGAATGAAA